AAAATCATCTGAGGCCAATCCTTTTTTTAAATGTGGGATAAATCGTAGGAAGAAAACTGGCTTAGAAAAGAAAATCTCTTCTGCACATTTAGATGTTGCTATACGAGCTAAAAGCGAGGCTGTATATTAGGGGTGCAGAGACTGACCAATGGGTCCTGATTTACTTAAATGTGGCTGTTTTCGAATGTCCGCTCTAACCCCTAAATCCCTATATAGAGCGGGGACTATATAGTGAACTCAGTTAACTGTACGTTCGGACAGATGATCACTACTTTTTACTCTGCGTTGGCCATGTAACTCCGCCTCCCTGCACAGTTCCTCGCCATCTTTGTTATTAGTCGCCGCTGTTGGGTAGCGACAGCCTCTGACTACAGCAGGCCGCAGTGACAACAAATCCCATGATGCCTTGCAGGAAGAGCACTAAGCATACTTAGTGTGAGGCATTACATTAGAGTCAATGAGTCGATGCAATCAACTGGTTTTCCTTAGATAGAAAACTTTGAATTAAATTGACTGTATGATCTGGTGAACTGTAAAGTGCCTTGAGATGACATGTTGTGAATTGGCGCTATAGAAATAAACTGGCAAAGCATTCCTGGATATATTTGCTTCTCTAGTGACCAAGGATGATCACTACTATTCAAGGGGCATTGTGGGAAATATCGAGTCCACAGCTTTTTCATCCACAAACCAGGGGTGTCAAACTGGTTCCAGAAAGGGCCGTGTGGCTGCAGGTTTTCTTTCCAACCAAACACTCGCACACCAGACATTCATCTCATCAAGGCATCATGTTCAGATTGGACTCACTTGATGAGATGACTTGAGTCTGGTGTGCTATTGTTTGGTTGGAAAGAAAACCTGCAGCCACACGGCCCTTTCTGGAACCAATTTGACACCCCTGCACTAGACCATCGGCGTCCGCAGACCTTTTTCACAGGGGAACATGCCCAGTTGTGGATCTGCGGTGCCTGGATATTCCTGGGGCGCTGATTTCTTAATTAATTAATTTTCTGCTTTCACAGCGGAGTTAAGAGAGGAGAACACTCAAAATTAAGCCAGTCACAATTGATTGACAGCTTCTCAAAAATGAAGCAGAGACGCTACCGTTTACTGTTAAAAAAAATTAACATCCAGCTCTCCCATCTATCTGGCCACATTATAGGATCATCAGCATCACACCATCATAGGATGGGTCCAAATAGAAATGATAAACACAGACATGTATGTATGTAGAGGTTTTTTTTTTGTTTTTCCTTTTACAGTTGCACATTCCAAGTTTTCAGTTTTGAAGTTCATGTTTGCTGACAGATATTTAATGAAGTTAAATTGTGCCTTCATCACTAGTGGATTAGAGCTATACAGTTAATTTCACAAGTGTGCTAATTTAATTCAGTTTGGTTCAGGTAGATATTTAATAATGCACAAAATAACAATCTGATTGTACAATTAATTTATGACGCTTTATAATAATAAGTGCTATAAAATATTTGCTTGCGTGCTTGAATTGATTATCTGTGCCCATGCTTTTTTAAAATAATTACACAAAAAATTATTTTTTGTGCTGTATTGAGTCAGCTGACGCCGCTGCACTAGACGTTCTGACACTCATCTAAGGTGACGTAATCACTATATAGTTGGACGGCGAGCAGAGATTCAGTGATCAAAGTCCCGGATCGGATATCAACTGATAATAATTTGCTGAGCTGGGCATTCTTCTGATTAGTCTTTTTTTAAATGATATATTTCTAGTCCCTTTGATAATATGTTTGCAGCGCTGATCATGGAGAGCATGCACAGCAGCCAGTGAGTATTTATATCTCTGATAATGTTTTTCTTTTCCAGCTTTTTTATTGTCATCACACTGTCACAAGCAAAGAGCAACGAAATGAACTCTCTGCCTTTCACCCATCCCCTTGGGTAGCAGTGGGCTGCCATTGTGTGGCGTCCGGGGAGCAGTGTGGGGGGGTTGAGGGTCTTGCTCAGGGACCCAGAGTGGCATTCTGTGGATGTGGGGCTTGAATTCAGAAACCTCTGGATTCCAAGCGCAACGCCCTAACCACCAGACCGCCACTCCCTAAACTCCCCCTAATTTGGTACCCCTTTAAAAAATGTCTAGGCCTAACACCGTCACTCTCATGCAAGGTATACGGCTCGATCATTAAACTGTAGTATTGGTATCGACCGACAGGCTCCGCCCAGGTATCGGAACGGAAACTAGATCTGTGCATCTCTAAGGTTAGATGTAAAACCAGTTTTATCCACCAATCTTAGCCTCTGCAAAGCTCGAAACTTTTCATTTCTATTTCAGATCATTATCCCATGAAGTTAAAACCAGTTTGTATTGTTTTGTGGGTATTCAATGTATTATAAATTAAGTTATTTGTGATATAATTGATAGTGTCCTTTAAAGAGAACAGAACTATTAGTCAAAATAAGAAGCGACATGTCAGACTTTTAAAGGTTTGGTGATCGGCCAGAAAACTGCAATCAGTGCACCCCAGACTGCTTTGCTGAAGCTGTCAGGTTCCTTAAGGTTTTACACAAACTTGTAAATGTAAATCATTCAGATTTATGTGGAAAAGCGGGCTGAATGCCACACTATTCAGATTGCTCCTTTCCCTTTGCAAATATATAATTTTATATATACATTTATTACATAAAATCAGAATAAAACACAATGATTGGGCGTTTACCTTCAGGTATGAGCCGTAATACTTGGTAACAAAAGGGCTGTCGCACTGGCTCAGCACCGTGATCTCCTGCTGAATGTCTTCTATCTCATCCTCTGCTTCCTCCAGGTCTATGATCTTAATGGCCACCACCTTCTGCGTACGATTGTCGATGCCTTTGAACACCTCGCCAAAGGAACCCTTCCCAATGCGCTCCAGCTTGGTAAACAGCTCCTCTGGGTCCACTCTGACGTTCTGATTGTTAAGGGGGAGCGGGCGCGGACAAAGCAAGGGGAAGGGAAGGTGGGTTTCAAAGAAATCATAATAAACAGAATGAAAGAAAAGTCGGGAGTGAATCCAAAACAGCCGGTCGGGTGGCATTCTTACAGGATGCATTAATTCACTCATTGCAACTCTTAAGTTTTATGTGAAGAGAAAAACAGAGGAGAGTAAGTGGGGGAAGAGTAATGATTGGATAACATGCAGGTTCAAAATAAAAGTAATAAAATTAAAACAGCTGCTAAGAGTTCCCATGTTTCTCCCTTTAATCCCTGACACATCCTTTAGTAGTTTAATCAATAAATAAATAGCTAAAAACTGTAACTTTGCCTTCAAAGAACAGTATAAATATCCGCCCAGTGTTATATGGGCTATTTTTCTGTAGTATGAACAATATTGTGTGAAATGGAGGAAAAAAACCAATTGAGTTCCACAGGAAGTGAACTAAAATGACTTAACTCTCCAGAGGCTGTTATGTGGAAAACACAAGCGTCTGCGGCAACTAAAAACTTCCTTTTATGACCTCTTTCAAGCAGAGAAAACTCATTAAAGCCAATTGAAGGCAGCTAAAATTAACACTGGAGACTTTTGAAAAGGATAGACCCATAATTCCCTTCTTTTTTCTTTTTACATAAATGCATCAGTTGCATACAAACATTTCCAAAATCAAAATGTCCAATCACATAATACGCTTATAAACTGTGGCTATTTATTTGGCCGTATTTTGGTAGGTTTATTCCACTCTTTGCATTTGCAGATGATTTGAAGATGCTTAAAACATGTTCAGCATGTTTTTACACCCCAAGCCTTTTAATTTATCTGCAACTATCAGTTTTGATCCCATTTAATGTGTTTTTCTGAATAATTTCTTCACTTAGCAGCCTAATTCCTACTTAGATTAAATGGCAAACAGAGTTATACTTTTTTTGTCTTCTCTTTACAATTAAACTCTACTGACCTTCTGCAGTAACAAATGTTTTGTTTGCAAATTGTCATTACAATTCTGGATCTATAATGGTGGCTTAACCTAAGCTCTTAAAAACCAGGATGGTTCCTTTTTCAATAAGGGTGATTTACATGGCTGAATCATTTCCCCAATCTGCCATCAGGTTCTGCAGAAACCAGCTGATAAACCATTTCGCTGAGGTGTATTTGGTCAGTGAAATATCTTTAATATTCAGGTTCTTTAGGACAGGATTTCCTAACCCTGATCTATCACATGTAATCCCAAGACATGTGAATAAATTAGATTTCTTCTGTAAAGTTTTGCAACATAACTCCCTAAATATGCCTCAGAAGTTACATTTTCGTGTCATTTTTAGAAGAAAAAAAACACTTTAGTTTCTCATGGGAATTTCCGAGCTGTGCTTATGTCCTTGAATGCTCCATCTCACTAAGCTGTTTAGGTGCACAGCGTTATTAACCCTACATGGACTCACTGAACAGTTTGTTCTTATAGCGAATAAGTTGGGGAAAAAAGTTCAATGGACATTGAGCTTACCTGCATCCCCGGCAGGTTACCCTGAACGGGAGAATGCGCCATAATGAAGAAGATCGGGTTTGCTCCTCGTCCAGGAACGAAGGGGCTTAGATCGCCCCGGCTGTGGTGCTTTCAAAGCTATTAATCCAGTAGGATTCCTGGCAATCCAAATCTAAAGAGAAGTTTCCGCTGCTTTTAAACAGCGACCCGTCCTTAAAAACACTCTTTATATATTTACATGAACAAAACAGCCCTAAGCAAGGGAGGAAAACACAGCTAACTAACGTCTACTAACGCTGATGCTAGCTGCAAACAAGAAATCCGCAATATTAGCATGCTAACCAACTAGCTAAGCGTTAAATCCAATTTATGACTTCGGAAAGTTGAGCCGCAGTAGTCAGCCGTATCCGCTATAGTTTATTTAGGAGAAAAGGCTATTTATATCGGAGCAGTCCAAGTGTCACTATGTGATCGCACAGCGTCTCGATGCTGTCAGCTAGCAGACATGGTTAGCAGGTTAGCTCCCAGAAGATCCGATAAAACGGTCCCTGCGCGCGCCGCCGCGGAGCGCACTGTGTTTGCATCCGGCAAAAACAAGAGCCGGGCTGCTCCCAGCGCTTTATCTCAGCCCTCTGCACCGCTTAGAAATCTGGCCTCTTATGCAGGGGGTGGTGGTGGGGGGGACAGATCACAGATGTTTTTGTTTTCTCCCTCACTTTCGACCCGTAATCTCGGCCATCTTGTCGGTGCCGTGACGCCGAGCTGGGCGGATCCGGATCCGGATCGGCAGCAACATCCTGACGGCTGGATAAACTCGGTGCTGATGCAAGGCGCTGAGATCCCTGCAGCTTTACAGGAAAGTTGCAAAAGTGACTAAGTCAATCATCCTACTTCTTCTTCCTCTTTAGAGTCAATCATCCTAAATAAAACGAACATCCTATAATACTGCAGCTCTGATAATTATGTATTAAGTATTTTTTTTTTTATCAAAAGTTGTACACTCCATTAAGGAAGAGGATTAGGGCCACTCAAAAATGTTTAAAAGTTAACTGATTTTTAAATTTTATTTCAGTATAATATGAGAAAGCAGTCAGAATTCTAACTTTAATCTCAAAACTCTGACTTTAATCTCAAAACTCTGACTTTAATCTCAA